GCCTGGGGCGGCTGCGGGAGCTGGAGTAACGCGGGGGGAACACACGACACAGACCCTGGGGCTGGAGGGTGACCGGGGGACACGGGGTCGTGGAAGGACTGAATGGGTTGGCTTGGAAGGAACATTTCAAAGTCACCTAGTCCAAGCCCCGTGCAGTCAGCAGGGACCTCTTCAGCTAGATCAGGTTGCTCAGAGCCACGTCTAACCTCACCTGGAATGTTTTCAGGGATGGGGCATCGACCTCCTCTCTGGGCAACCTGGGACAGTGGCTCACCACCCTCAGTGTAAAACATTTTTTCTGTATATCTAGTCTAAATCTCCCCTGCTTTAATTATAAACCATCACCCCTTGTCCTGCCACATGTCCCCAGCTCCACGTGACCTGAGAGGTGAGCTCTTAGTTACTTCCATCCCCTCTGCACGCACAGAGTGTCTGATCATGGCTTACCAAATAATCTGAAAGCTGGGACAAGCTTTCATCCTATATCATCTACCTACAAAGTGTATTAGAGTAGGGGAGAAAGTGCAACTCAAAAGACTCCCCCTTTATATGTTGTTCCCACTCAAAAAGCAGTGTTATAAGAAAAGTACCACCAACTTCATTTTCAGGTAATTTTTAACCTAAACAATTTTCACGCATTCTGAATTACAAACCAGAAAATGATACAATTAATGGAGGAAGTCAAAATGCTGAGATCACTTTGTTTCCACATTAATACATAAAAATGGACAACACATTAAATAAACATTTTGTTATTAACAATTAGAAATATTAACACCAAAAATCATGTATAAATTAGGAAATAAATGTACAAACTATTTCCAAAGTGCTCTTTCAAATACATTATATACACAACATTCAAGAAGTTCTTAATGTAAGACATTTCAGATTGATGTAATGTTGCTGTTTCATTTTAAGCGTTGTTCATATTCTCTCAAAAGTATTTCAGCACTTTCAAAAACCACATAAAAGGCATATTTCCAAGCTGGCAAAGAGCAATATTGCATTCTTCTGGCTACCTGTAATACTGATTTTGTAAAGAAAACAATCTTCTTTTCTGTTCCTTGCTATTTGAGAATACTTGTATGAAAACACAGCAGGAAAGATGAGAGAAACGAGGACTGACTAAAAAAAGTCTTCTATTTTATCAATACCTAAAATTATTAATGTAGCAAGGGCAGTGCTTGGACAACATTTAATAGTAAACTCTTCAGCTGTCCAGTTAAAATTTTGACTTTCCTCTATGGGGAAAGAAAGAAAAGTAATGAATTCAGAGATCTTTTATTCTCCTTGTGGTCTTGGTTTTTCAAAATATAAAGTACTAGGACTTGAAATCCCTTAAATAGACTAGTTCAGACAAAGAAAAGGAGAAAATCCTACAGCATGTATTTACTCAATATTGTAAATTTGCAGGTAATCTCATATTAAAAAATGCTCACAGAGTATAGTTATCCTAGCCTGTTGCCCCAGAAGTTTGGACGTGGTATTTCGTTCAGCACTTATATAAGCACTTTATAAATGCTTTTTATCAACATTTTATAAGAACATATAAAACTGAATAGAAGTGACTTACATTGTTCATACTGGCTTTTACATACCACTAGTTTTTATTTCTAAATTCTCTCTCTATAGGTATTCTTTCATGGTTGACCCCATTAATAGTTCCCCTCTCTATATGCATAACATTGTTTCACAATTAAAGCTGAATTTGGTGAATTTTCTGCAAGAAAGATGGATTTTTTTATTTTTTTTTTTTTTTACTTCTGGACTACTTCTGTCAAGCTACAAGAGAAAAACAGAAGTGATGATGAGCTGTAAGAATAACAGACCAAAGAATTAGACAGGATTTATGGTTATAATGCTTGCTGGAAAATCTAAGCAAGGGCATTGGAAGAACCAGAAATAAAGAAGGATGCCAGCCACCTGCTTGTGAAATTTGGCAAGAAAATGTCTGTGTGAATTATAAAATTGGGAGCAGCATATTTAAGACTGGAGTTTCCAGATGTTTTTCTCTGCTAAGCACAATATGAAGCAATATTGACGTCTAGCAGGTGGACTCTGCGGATCTCCAACTTCCCTTCTACTTTTATTTCTGGGATAGAAATACCTTAGTTTACACAGGTGTAAAAAAGGTGCCTCTAGTGATTAACATTTTCTGGAATACAGGGTTTGATCCTCTTTCGGTACCTTTTACAACAGAAACATGGACTTATGCAGACTACTGAATTCTTAGACTTGGGTAGTTAGTCCTGGTAGGTATTGCAGAAATTGCAGGTCATTTTAGTTTTAACATGTAGTGTAGAATTGTCTTCACATCAGGAGTGGATCCATCCCCTTATTCTTAAGAAGCGAAGTTAAGAGTCTTGGATTTCAGAGGCTGGCAGATGATCTTCAATGCATTCTGCTAAAAGAAGATCAATAACCTACCACAGGATACCTCCCTGGACTGAGACAGGACTTTGTGTTGAGCCAGGCTGCCAAATCACCTGGCTGCTTTCCAGAGCGGGGCACAACTGTGATCAAATGATCCTAAAGCTATTTAGAAACATCAAGAATGGGGCAAGGGAGGGGGTAAATGAAAAAATTCTGCGTTGTATCAACATACAGTACTATACACAGCACCAAATATCAAACCATTAAAGCATTGTCTTGTTACCAGTAGTGCACTGCTTCATATCCAGCATGAAATGAACACTGTTCACATACAGACGCTGCTTTGTGCTAAGGGGTAACCAACATATTACAATTAATCAAAACTGCCTGTACATCCAGTTCAAAATGGAGATACTATTGAAATGAATCTGACACAGGATCATATTCTTTTATTGCTGGTAATTTCCATATTGTCCCTGTAAGAAAAGAAAGAGAAATAAAAATGTTGGAGAAGAATGCATCAGAGGTTTACAACAGACCATTCCTTTTGGTCTGTGAATTTTGAGAGACTCACTGAAGTATCATCAACGTGCCTGCACTGAGCAGATAGATTTGTCTGTGGAGCTAACAGGTAAAGTTGCTTTTTCATAGCAGAGATATGGAGCATTTACCTGCTCGTAGCCGTAAGGCCTCTGTTGCTGAGCAGATGGGCCTGTCTGAGAAGCTCTGTAACTTCCATATTGCTGCCCCTGCCCCTGTTGGTAGCTGGAATACTGTGAAGAGGCTTGTGCAGGACCTGAGGAGACAGTGAAATCTGTTACCATGGCTTGATTTGCTCAGGGGGGTTCTTAGGGCTAACATAACGTAAACCATGATGGTAACACAGTAAGCTCTGCAAGTGTAAACTGAGTAAATTTTGCTCAGACCTCCCTCCAGCTTCACACTAGAAAGTGTTAATAATGATCTAGTTGGGGCAGTGTAAACTCCAGGTTTTAAACTTTGCTTGGAAAAATTTGATAACACTTTAAGCCATTTGCCTTTCTGAACTCTGTATTGGCACAGCCCAATTATTACCTAGGTGCAAGCCCTTTACTTTAGTAACAGCTGCACATTTCACTTCCTAGTTAATCCATCTGTGCCACCATGAACACTGCTCAGCAGACACAACCTACACCATCTCTTGCATACAGATACTTTTAAGAAACAAGTAAATCAGGCACACGACTGCATGGGGATATTGATTTCCTTTTATCTTGGGCTGTATATTCTGTGTGTAGAGTGCTACGTGCACTTTTTAGCAGTTATTGGTAGATTTTTATGAAGGAGAATGCTTAAAAAGAGGAGGCCAAATTTTAACATGAGAAACTGAATTTGGGGGTTAATTTTCAGACTATGTCTGCTTTGAGTAGCCCAAACTACCTACTAGTACTGCAGAGTCAGATGTTAATAATTGAAGTCACTTTTTAGGCACATAGGTTCTATTTCATGAGACCTTAGTTTTCCACAATGCATTTGCTGTTTATATCAACATCATTTTATCAAATTTAGTTAACATTGCCAGTTCAAGGTCAAGTACCATCACATTTGGGAGATCAACCAGAAATCCCTTGCCTGGAAGCTAGGATTTAGATTATTCAAATCTCTCCAGCCTGTTTTTGTACTAAATAACCTGAAATATGTATGCTATGGCCCAGAATCCCTTTTCATGCTATGCTTTTTCGCTAGTTTCAGTAAGTGGATGTCCAAGGTTCATGAAGGAAATAATTTACAGCATATTTTAGCTTAGGAATGGAGGCTTTGGGGTGAAGTATTGCAAACCCTTGAGCAGTCAGTGACAGTTTTCTTACCGTATCCTTGCTGTTGTCCTGGGTAGCTTTGTTGGTTTGGGTATTGCTGCTGGGAATACGTTTGCTGTTGAGCAGCTCCCTGTTGGTATCCTGCTTGCTGCTGGCTGTACTGAGAATTTCCTGAAGAGGGAGAAATTGAAAGAGTTTGGTTATAGCTGAGGCAGGTATTTCACTGTACCTGCGGATCACAAGGAAAACAAAGGAGCCTTGGTCTGGAACTCAGACAAGTACTCTTTTCAGAAATTCAGACAATTGCGTTTTACCAATTGGGATTTTTATTTCTTCAGTGTTTTGTTTTTTTGTTCTGTTGAACAGGAGAGAGGTTTTTTTTTAATATACATTACTAAACAAACAAATGAGCAACCTGTTACCCAAAGGATCTTTTTTTTTCCCCTAGAAGTGTTTCAGAAGGAAAAAAAACAGAGTCACAAAGATAAGGGTGCCAAGGTAAAAAGCCAGTTTCTCCAGAAGCATTCCTACTGTATTTTCTTCTAGATAATGACGTTTATCCCTTTAACCTAGAAAGACCACTCATCTAGTTGGTACTGGTATTTTTTGAAATACCTATAATGCAAATTCCATTTGCAGCACCCTGAAACAACAAAATGAATTGAGACTATACAGACAAAATTTACTTTCCCTAAATGTCACCATGCTGTACCATAATTAAGTTAATATTATTGAAGTTAATTCAGAGTTCTGGTATCTTAATAAAATCACTGAATTTATTAATTTACTACTGTTGAGAGTTTTTTAGTGGTAGAACTGCAAGCTCTTAGTATTGATGATTTTCAAAGATTGGTTTCATTCAACCTGTTGGGTTTTTTTTTCCCAATTTGTAAAATGAATTAAGGAAGATGAAAGAATATTGTTTCCTGGAATTTACCAGTAGGCTTTCTTACTTTAAGAAATTTCCATTTACGACTGCCAAATTTTCCAGCTCTGAACCCCATTTCTAACTGCAGCACATTAGTTCACCTTTGTCAGCATAACTTTTTACTTTAATATGGCCATTTTCACTTGCATTCTATAAAATGTTTGTTAAACGGTTTTGTGGGAGCAGAGGACACTGGTACTCTGGAAGTCTTTTTTCTTGCTGAAAAAAAGTACAATATCCATAGCTAGAATTCCACCTCGATCAGGTACAACTGAGGGTCATTCTTCTGACAACTATGAGGCTACACACAAGTTGTAAGTGATCCCTCACAGCCTCACAGCACAGTCACTGGCATGATCCTGTCTACACAGCCTGATACCATCTCATATAAAACATGCTATCCACAGAAAAATTCTATTTCCTGGGCACTCCATAAGTAATAGCTAAGTAGCAGTTAGTGATGCAGAAATTTCAAGTCATAGTTTACATTTTCATAAGCATGCCATTAGTGTTTTAGGGGACTAGAGCTTTGGTTTACAAAGATTGCCAACATGTTTTCCTACCTCCTTCATAATAGTGTTGTGTAGAGTCATCAAAGGACCTGTCATAGCTCTGCTCAGTATAGGATGACTGCTGATAGGCATAATCACCATGTCCTGCAAGGGTCACAAAGATGTATCAGATACCTCATTAATATAACTAGAGATATATTGCTGAACGATATATTGTGAAGCTGCTTATCCACAAAGATGAGGCTAAGAGGAAATACAGACCCCTTAGGTAGGAGGTCAAATCTCTAGCAAGGAAAGGCACATTAGGGATAAATTTCCTGCATTCACTAATCCAGACTTGGCTTTGTGCCCTTTTTGAGGCAGTTGGGATGGCAGGATGCACTGATGCACCCATCCATGCCCTGGGATTAGAATTTCCTAGCATTTCAATAGGAAATGAATCCCAGGAGGTTTGCCATGTCCTTGGAGGTGGCAGTGATGCTGCTCTGGACTGTCTCAGTGCCCCAGTGAGTACAGCTTGGAGGAATTACCATCTGGGTAGTACTGCTGATTCATGGGTTCTGATGAGCCCTGTCCATGGCTGTACTGTTCACTGTAATACTCCTCCTGACCCATGTACTGCTGCGAGGAACCTGCAAGGCAAAGACAAAGGAGAGCAAGCTGAGCCCCTGGGCTCCTAAGGGATGGCTTCTTCCTTATCTCTTTTATTTTTCCTTTTTTTTTTTAAGAAAACGGTGTTTACATCTGGATAAGTAAACAAGCTACGTATGATGAGAGCGGTTTCAAAGATGTTTTGCTCACTAGAAAAAGGAAATAAATTTGTATTCTCAGAAAAAGCTGGTTGAAATTATGCTACAGCCAATAACATGTCCTAAACCCCCTCACTTCTGTGGCAATACCAAAAGTCTTGGCTATGTTTCATCTACTAATCTGAGTTATCAGAAAGCACAGGAATGTATTCCATGCTCGAGAACACAGTCAGAATTAAATCTTTTTTAATTAATGTACTAATTTGTTTCTTAGCAAAATTCAGTTTATGTTAGAATCAGTCTAGCAGCTTTATTACCTCTTAGAACTTTTTCCAGAGAGGTCTTAGAGCATGGTAGTTATCCTCCGGTGTTTTCCTCTCCTTGGCCTAATTTTTCGTACTAATTGCTGGCAAACTACATCTTCTTTGCAGAAATGTGTTCCTTGTTAACTGTGCCATGTTACGGCTGATCCAATACTATTTGAAAGAATTGAAAAGATTCCCAGTGGCTTGAGTGAGCTGTGTATCAAATCGTTCATCTTTTCTTTAGAGATACACGATCCCTTTTAGACAGACTTATTTTTGCTAAACACCTGAAATAATTAAATAGATAAATCTTGAAAATAGATTGAATTTCACCTGATACCTCCACTGTGTGAGATTTCTTGTGTTCCCAAAAAGGGATTCCCTGTTCATAAACAGGACTTGGAAATGTTGACTTGCCTGCCCCACAGGACGGGCTGAGTATCACCAACGTATCAATAATGGCATCGGCAATCTAACAGTAGGTTTTACCTTGCTGGGAAGCTCTGTAAGGGCCCATGGGTCGCTGCCCCATCATGCTGTTGCCTTGGTTGCTCTGACTCATCATGGCAATGGAGGACTGCCCCTGGTAGTGCTGGCTCCCGCCCTGTGCCGAGTTGTAATGCGACGTTGCCGCTTGCTGGTGCATCATGGAGACTGCAAGGCACATGGAAACCCCCGTTTCCTAAAAGGATCTGTCAGGTCTCTCCCTAGTCTCTTTGGAAGCGAGTTAAAAACCTTCCACTAACATGCACCCTGATAATTCTGCCGATTTTCCACAGGGGGAGATGTTTTCCTACTACACGTATTTAACTCCTCCGCACTGTAATCCAGAAAGGATGTCAGTACATGGTCAGTTATTGCCATTTGCTTCAATCAGATGTTTAAAAAGACATCTAGCCTTGATTATTGTTAGTTTATTTAAAAGAATGTAGTCGTTATTACAGTAGGGTTAAAGAAAGGAATAAGAACTGATGCTTGTTCCTTTCCTACCCCCTGACCAATTCATTGCTGCATTTCTTAGCTAAACAACTCTTCCTTCTACTTCCACCTTATTATACACATGATGATTAGACCTGTTAAATAAGCTGACCTTTTTTTTATATTTTTATTTTATTTGATATATTTATTTTAGGATTTATTCGATCCCTAAATTTCGTATTGTTGGATAGAATTCTTAAGGACTGGACATCCCATTCAATACTCAGTGACAAACATTTTTACAAATTAAGAGATTAATTCTGAGTTGTCTGCTCATCTCTCTGTGCCCTGCAAGCAGTGTGAAGCATCAATAAAATAACAAAAATGTGCAAACAGTAAACCTGTAATACTCATTGGCAGGTTCTTACAGTTAGGATAAAGGTGCTTCTCAGCTCCCTCCCACAGTTGTGGGATTTGGTGCCAGGGGCTATCAGACAGTGCTGCTGCTCTTGCAGCCAGCCCTCCTTTCCCCAGCTCATTGCTAACCACAGCAAGTCAGGGGAAGCTGAAGCAAGTCTGAAACCGTTCTGACTCACGCTGGTGCCTGACACCTTGAAAACCAGAGATATCTTAAAGCTGTCTTTTCCTCTTGTATGTTTGTCACTGTCTACAGAAAATATTTACAGAACAAACTCATGTGTGGTAAACTTCTGAGGTCACTGAAAAGTCAAGTTGGCCCAGAAGGAGGAAGAAGGAGTTTACCTGGATTAGACTGCATGTTGATGTTTGTTCGAGAGACATAATTGCCTATTGACCCCTGGCCTTGCATTGGCACATTCTGGGATGCAGGCACTGTATGGCTGTAACCAGGCCCAGTTCCATGACTGCTGACAGTCATACTCAGAGAGGTCGTGGGCATCGTATTCTGGCCTGACTGCTGCATAGACACATGATTGGGACCTAGAAAAATTAAAGAGAGCAACAAGAAAATCTGTGCTATTATTGGCAACGTAGAGTGAGCACTGAAGCCCTCACAGCCTTTCTAAAATCCCTTCTGATCAGGCAAAACAGAACAAACCAAAATTCCTCATTATTAAAACTCCCTCTTATCGCCAAGCAAATTAAGACTGCCCAGTGCCCAGCTAGAGTGATCCTCCTCTTCCTGGCAGCCCAGTCCAGGCTGTACAGAGCTGCAGACAGGAGAACAAAACCAGCAGCAATGCTCAACAACCAGTTCCTTGCAGGCAGCAGCATTAACAAACGCCAGTGATTTCAGGTACTTCAGGAAACACACGGGCTCTGGAACCATCCCAGCCCCTGAAATCTGTGCTTTCCTTCCCACTGTCCCTTCACAGAGGGTGACAATGGGAAGGCACAGCAGTGGCTGAGGAACACCGTGCACATTGCTGCATCCATTTGGATCCTCTACAACCACCTGACCTTCTTAGCTGGGGTTTGGGAAGTACCTGGGGACCCTTTCCTCAGAGGAAGAGCCTGTCTCTCCTTTTCCTGATATCTGACTGAAAATACTTCAGACTTTTGGAAGATAAATTTTCCAAGTCCCCAGAATAAGACCCTGTTGGTCAGGTACTCCCTTTCCAACACCACCCTATGTAATCATCAGACTGCTCCAACTACATCCCAGCTTTGAGAGTATCATCCTGGCAGCATGCTTCTTTTGAAAACCTATTGCTGTTGGGTAACCAAAGTTGGGGAGAATCTCATGCTTATTTGTTGTTGGTTGTTGCTGTAAATACTTTTATGAATGAGTTTTGGAAAGTTGTTTTCATTGCGTATGGTGACTACCTAAATTGGGATCATAGGATCATAGATTGGGTTGGGTTGGGACCTTAAAGATCATCTAGTTCCAACCCCCCTGCCATGGGCAGGGACACCTCCCACTAGATCAGGTTGCTCAAAACCCCATCCAGCCTGGCCTTGAACACATCCAGTGTGGAGCATCCACAACTTCCCTGGGCAACCTGTTCCAATGTCTCACCATCCCCATAGTGAAGAATTTCTTCCTTATGTGCAGTCTAAATCTCCCCTCTTCCAGTTTGAAGCTATTATCCCTCATGCTATCACTCCAAGCCCTTGTAAAAAGTCCTTCCCCAGCTTTCTTGTTGGCCTCCTTCAGATACTAGAAGGCCACAGTAAGGTGTCCCCAGAGCCTTCTCTCCTCCAGGCTGAACAACCCCAACCTGGTGTTCCAGCCCTGAGCAGTGATAGTGTGTAGTGTTGTCTAAATTCAGCTGTGTTGTTGTCAGTCTAAATTAATTTAGGTGGAATGGAAGACAAGCAGAATCCCCAGAAGAGACAGAATTATGCTGTAATATTTAAATAACTGTATTTTAATTCACAGTTATTAAGTGTATCTACAGCCTCTGAAAAAATGTGTCTAATTCTCTTAGTACAAACCTCATTAATTACCCTTAATGGTATTTATAGACATCAAAATGAAAAAAAAAAAAAAAAAAAAATTGCTGTAGATCATTCTGTTTCCCTCTGATGGAGAGATGCAAGCAGCATTTTCAACAGGAGACAGAGAGCACCAGCTCTGCTGAAGTCAGTGGAGCCAGGTCAATACTCTGCTACAGAGACCCAGCCCTGGGCTTTGCTCCAGTCTTTGTGCCTCATAAAGCTGATGCTTCTACTTGTGCAACACAAGAGCACAATGTGTTTGAATGGAGCTGGCACCTTTGAGTGAGAGGTGGAGTGAAGCAAGTGCTGGTAAACCTTGCCCTGTCCTCATGGGAAAACTGAGAGAATCATGGCTTTCTTTAAAACAAAAAACAAGAGGTTTTGCTTATTTGTGACTGTAAGGGAAATATGAAAGCATGGCCAAAAGTGTTTAGAAAAACAGATTAAAACAATACAATAAACACCAAGCATTGAGCCTCTTTCATACTAAGGCATTTGGGTTTTTCTTTGTCAGGCCTCATTCATGATTTCTGAACAGTTAAAATTCTCAGTTGGGCTCAATTCTGTCCAGAGGCAGCTGAGTTTCACTGCTTGGTTTATTGAATCTAATGGGTTTGTCTGCAGGCAAGCTCTGCATAGAGTCTTAGAGTGCTTTGGGTTGGAAGGGACCTTAAAGATCATCTAGTTCCAAACCCCCTGCCACAGGCAGGGGCACCCCCCAGGCTGCTCAAAGCCCCATCCAGCCTGGCGTGAACACATCGAGTGATGGAGCATCCACAGTACGGGGTAACCTGTGCCAGTGTCTCACCACCCTCACGGTGAAGAACTCCTTCCCCATTTCTAATCTACATCTCCCCTCTTCCAGTGTGAAGCCATTACCCCTCGTTCCATCACTCTGTCTCCAGTCTGGTTTCCAGTGGGCTGATACTTTCATGATAAAATACCAGGTGACAGAGTCTCAGTGACTGAGCAGAGAGTGAACTACACTGAGACCCCCACAGCTCAGGCTGGGCTTTGGTACTGGGATGGGGCAACAGGAGGTAAACTGCTCCTGTTCTGTGGATGACTCGAGTCTTCAAGATTACTCTCAAGTACTGGAGGGTGGGGGGCTAATAAGAAAAAGCAACAACAATAACACTGAAAATGTAAATTCTTAGGAACACAAAACAACGTTTTGACTGGCTTATTAGAATACTTAAGAACTAAGGTAAGAACTTTTTCCAAAAGAAGGCTCAGATATATTTAGTAAGTTCACTTTACAAGCTATAACTGTTTCAAGTAGGTACCTCATCCATTAGTTTAAAAAGTACTATCAGCTTGACCACAAATAGATTTTTTAAAAGTCAGAAGTAATTTCATGGCTTGGATCTGCTCCTGAGTCCCCTGCCAAGGGCTGGGACTTTACAATCAGAGATTTTTATTTATAGAAACACTTTTTTCTCTCTGTCACTCTGGAAAAGACCCTAGGAAACAAGATCTGATGAAATAAGTATGAATTACAAAATAAACAAACAGATTACTCACACTATAAAATACACAGAATAATAAAAAAAAATAAATCTGTCTTTCAATTAGTTTCTTTTAGTTGCATGAACAAAACCAGCCAAAGCATATTATCTCCTTCACAGGTAATGTCTGTGTAAACTCTTTGGCTATGTAGTACAATCCCTGCAAGCTTCTGCAAAAGACAAAGAGTGATGCAACAGCAAATTATTTTGAGAAAGGCTTGAATCCTGGAAGGTGTTTGCATCTAAAGGCTGGGTTGTGTGGTTAGTCATGCAAGGAATTCTATTTTACCCTGGCCAGCCCCACTGCTTTCAAAAGAAAAATACCACAATTGGTAATTTTTTCTTACTAAAAACTTGGATGCATCTTTACTGGGTGATTTTCATTACACATTTAGATACTCAATGCTTTTAATTTCCCTGATAGAAATGCTAACAGAGTGGAGTCCATGCAGAAGCCAACGTTATTCCTGACTGTAGCCATTTTGTGATGATTTCAGCATGTGCCTGAATTCCCCATATGCCTGAAAGGTGAGTTAGGAGAGGTCTTTTCCAGCTCCGTAAGTATATTCTGCATTAATGATTTTGTTGCCAAGCAACAGCAAAGCAGCACAAAGGGGACGGAAGCTCACCATTGCTAATCTGGCTCTGCATGAGGGAGGAAGGAGGGAGGCCTGTCCCAATGGCATCGCTGAGATTGCTCTGGGAGTGGAGAGATTGGCTGGATGCACTCTGAGTCATTCCTCCCGGGCCCAAGTTCATGTTTTGCGTTGGTGGCTGCAAACAACAAGGAGGAAAAGAAAATTTTTGGTTAGGTTTTTCATTAGGAAAAGAATAACCCCCCCAAATTAGCCTGACTGTGACTGAAATCTGCCTCAGCTAAATCTAAATCTGTGCTTCCTTCACTTTTGGGGCTTGCTTGGGTAAACCTTTCTTCATTCTTCTACTGGGTGAATGATATTCAGTGTGGAACAGAGGAGCTGGCAGGCAGCACAGTGAAGATCTTACACTTGTGCTTCTAATAGTCTGGCTTCTGTCCCCACTCTTCTGCACTCACATCAATTTCATCTTGTGCTGGCCAGAACAGAACTGCTGAGGGGAGATGCTTTAGCACAGACCAAGCAGAAGGGTGTTGACAAATTGCCCTTGCCAAGCATAAAGCTACGCTGCATTTTGTGTTACGTGTGATACCTACAAAATCAATCCATTTAGTGTGAATAAAACAATGTTTAAAGACAAATCAACGCCCAAATCTGAATTAGATATTTGACATAAACCAGCTTTTTTTCCTGAGTGAAGAATACAGTAAGAATAGGTAAAGAGTAATGAATCTGGGACAGATGGAGGCGGTTAGAACTGTGCCACTGCACCATTTATAGTATGTAGAACCTGAGCTACAGAGACAGAGGTTAACACTAATGTCCCAAAGAATGTATTTTAAACACAGTAAAAGTAACTTTTGATTTGTTTAGTCGTCTGCTTGGCCACTTCAAATCATTTAGCTGGAAAAACACTAAAAAATGGCTTATTGACAGTGATCAGTAACAGAATCAAAGAACATTTCCCTCTGGCATAGTAAATGGATCTGGTGATAGCACTGGTACTTACAGCAGGAAGCAAGGACTGCATATTCTGGTTAGAATCTGCTATTGTTGCCAAGTAAACCAGGTTTCTGTGCAAGATTTGTTGGTATCTACAGAATAAGGAGTAAAACTTATTTGGAAAGGGTTAACAATACAGAAAAATCTGAGCCTTTTTTTTTTAATTGCTATTTACAAACGATTAGCTAAATTACATTAACCCACTTTTCATCTGTCATAATAAAGAGCAATAGTGATGACCTATATCTGTGCTGTCACAGTGTTCATCAGGGATCACTGTGTTCAACACCTCTTTTACAAATGAGTAAACCCGAGGGGAGAGGTAAAATCCTTGGAAAGCACGTGGAGTGAACTGTGAAGCTGGGACCTCTCTGAGTACAGACACCCAGGCAGCTGCTCAAGCAATTAGCCACTTTTTCTTGCTCTGTTTAACAAGGGTCCTTTTAGTGATGAAATTCCACAACTCCAAAAAACGAAACCTATCTGCCCTGCCAGCAAGCTGAGAAGAATGAGATTTTTTTTCAAGAGTGCTCTAACTGGAGTGTTTACTCAAGTCAGCACCACCAGAATCATTTATGCTTCTTCACAGTTCTTGATGAACTGGAAAAGCTCATAACGAAGGACAGGAGGGCATTCAAAAGCTAACCAACGGCTGTGCCACTGAGCAAAGTGAACAGTCAAACTTCTGGAAACAGAGGGTGTCCAAAAAGACAAGTGAAAGATGCTTTTTTAGCCTGAGTTTTTTTCAGATAAGGGGAAGATGGCTGGAAAGTGGGAAAAGTGGCAAAAACGAAGCCAGAACGGTGACAAGACTTCTTTAGCAAAAGCATAATTTGTAGCCAGTTTTTTTTAAAGTGCAGCTTTCTGGGTTTGGCCCCATAACTTGGCCTTTTGTGGGGCAGACTGGCTGTTCTTCCTGACTGAGATTTACCCCCTGAAGTTTATAAAAGCATTTTGCTTTCAAGGTCAGGAATGGTAAGCAGTGACACAAACTGGTATGTCTACATGCATATTGGTTTAATGTGGATAACCACATGGCCGATCCTTAACCTAATTACTTTCTGATGAGAATGTGTTATTAACTTCGTACCTGATTCCACCAGTCTTTAATGAATCTGCATAGAACAAGTGGTCTTTTAACCATCATTATTTCTAATTATTGTAATAAATAATCTGTTAGAAATATTGTAAATACTCAAATACTTTGGGAAAAAAAACCCCTGTGTTCCAAGAAGAACATACAGGTCTTAATACAAGTGAATCTAAAAACAATAGTCCAAGTATTTACTCAGAGATCAGTGGACACAACTGCTCACAGCACCGTTCTTGAGAAGTACACCAAAAATTTCTAACACACCCCAAAACTCGCAATACTCACTGAGTACATTCTGCAGTTTTCCCCTTGCTCTGGTAATCCATAATACATTGTATTAGGTGGTGATTTTCATCTAGCATCTGCATAAAAGAAATACGATCAAAACTTGTTACTACAAGAATCGTGTTAAAAGTCCTGTGGGTTTGTGATACTCCACATTGACCCTTCTTGGCAGTGGGTGGTGTTTTGTGCAGTTTTGTCACCTTGGGATATTACAAAGTACCTACACGTGACTTTATTGAGCCACAAGACTGTCCTCTTCAAATCATTCCCATATGAACAGTTATCTTTAAGGGAGTATCCTGGGTTATCTGGTACTATCTGGTAACTGGGAGTTAGCTGAAATACCCAACACAGAAGAATTAATGGACTTACCTTTTTTCCTCCTTAAATGGCAGATACATTTTTATGCCGAGGAAGGAAAACGCTTTCACTATGAAATACTTCTGCCCGATTCCAAAATATCAGCCCACCCCTTGCAAAACTTCAGATTTTACTCACAAGCCTACTTTCAAATGTGAAACACAGTTTCCAACAATTTAAACCTGCTAGTTTTCTGGCACAGGACTAGTGAGTGCAGACTGCTGAACCTGAAGTATAAAGTCTGCTTTACTGGGTCTACTGAAACCACATTTAAGAGAATTACATCCCACTACGTCCTTTGGGGTAGTTCAGTTCTAATAGAGGGAGGACTTAAAAGGAAAACACAGGGTGCTTATATACCAATTAATTTATGTGTATCTGTGGCTGCTAGCTTAGCATTATTCAGTAAATTCTAGTGAATTTACTTGTTCCCATATCAGAGCTGCTGGATCAAACAACCACTGACCTTTATTATTTATTACAATGATCTTGTAATACAATCAAAAGTTTAAAATAGCCTTTGATTTGTTTTAAAGTTTCAAACACAATGGCTTGTCTCTTTCTCCCAGCTTTCCTGTGAATGCGGCAAGCCTTCTGCAGGGGAATGAATGGCAAAATAACAGTATTTACAAATTTAGATTTGCCTCTGGCAAAACCTTGCTACCTAATGCAGTTTGCAGGTAGTGCTGCTGCTAAGTGCTTGCAAGATTGGGCCTTGGAACCACTGTGTCATCAGGATAGAACTCTTGAGGGGAGAAGAACGTTTTCATACAAGCTGACTGTGAAACAATCTTTGTAGGTATGTGTTCCAATCAGAACAAATTCCTGACCCATTCAGACGCAAAGGATTATAGGAAATAGATTACAAGAAGATGAGCAAAAGGGATTTTCTGAGCTAGTCACTCCCTCGGACAGCTCAGTTTGTCCTGCTTCTTGATTGTAATTTGCAAGGTGCTCTGCTGCCTGCTGGACGCTGTGACGGGTGGGACCGCAGCGATGCCCCGTGGGGCACGAGGGGCCCGGGCACTGCGGTGGGCACGTGGTAGGTCAGCTGGCTGCTCTCCACAGGGCTGCCCAGGGCCGTCAGAACGGTGTCAGGCAAGGATCCGTGTTCCTCCTGCCTGCATGCCTATGCTCACATGGCAACCCGGGTGCAACAGAGCATTTTGAGAGAAGATCCCCCCGCCTGGTTCACGGCGCAGCTCTTTGTTTCATGCTCTGTACTCGTTGCACAGAATTTGCACAGAATTTACACAGATAGAGGTGAAAATTCTGTATACAGATTAGCAAGGAATATAAGCCCATCCTTTTCAGTTTCCACAGCAGATACCACTGACAACATTTTCCCATTCCATTAAGATACGTGACCAACAGCGAGAGTCCAAGCAGGATTACACATCTCTTCATCGGGAAAGGGCTATGCTGCTACAATGAGCTAAAGAACATTTTGCTTACTGCAAAAGGAATTGGGAATAGCTCTTTCC